GTGCGTGAACGGCCTGAATTCGTTTCTTCCTTAAGCACGATCAGACGGTCGAGATTAATCGTGATGAACGGTTCAGATTCGTTTCCTCATACGTGATTGGACGAATGAGATCGATCGCAATAGATGACGAGATAGTTATAAATACTTCGCATCATACGAGAACCTAAACCCTAGCAGCTAGTCCTCGCCGGAGAAGAAGAACCAGACGCCAGAGAACGAGTTTGATTGTCGACTATTGCCGCACTAAAGTTACCGTCGATCACCAAAAAAAGTAAAAATTCTCCCTATCCGCTCAGAATTCGATTCCGAGTACCCTTGTGGCCAAATCGGAATAAAAAGAACGGCAATTGAGCCAAAAATCGCAGGTAAAGCCCGGCGGAGCTGTCGCAGCTAAAACTCCAAAATTCCTCCGATGAGCCCCTCTTCGATTTTTCGTTTCACGTGATTTTTCGATCAATTATATTCACTATCCTTTTCTGTGTACTGTAACTAAAGAAAGAACCTCAGCTGCAAAGAAGGATCGGCGGAGCCGCTGCACTTAGAGCCCCTCCCCCCCCACCAGTAGGTTTATTTTTTTGTAATTTTTCGACCAAATAAGGCCCCTAACGTATTTTTTTTAGGGATACGACTAAAATCGGACAAAATCGACTAGACTGAAGCGAATCGTCGTTGTGGACGGCAGAGTCGGTGCTGGAGCACAGCGGCATCGCTGTTCTAAAACCCCAAAATTGGCCGAAATTAGTTTTGGACACCGATTTTGAGTTTTTTAGGGTATTATTAGGTATGTGACGAGTATTTTGAATTCTACAAAAAAATTCAAGGAACCCAGTACCTATCATGAGGCGTAGTAGAGAGCTTGATGTCTCAAAATACTGGTCCGGGTAAAGATTCCTCACTTTATTCTCCATTACGGTAAATTGATGTTTAACGATATATAATTTTATATTTTTGTGAAAAATTAGAAAAAACCTAAAAATAATTACAAGTTACTAGTGGAACCAGAACCTATTAGTTCACAATTATCTCAATTTTCTGTTTATTTTTCTGTACTATCCTACTTGTTTAATTTTCGTATAGTATATATTTTTAGTTTATAGTCTTAATGGTCTTATCGACTTATCTGATTATTTTGGTTATATATCGTCAGCATGAATATAATTTAATTGATCTATGAATGTGATATAAGATATTAATATGCGTTTGTTAGTTGTTTGTTGATAAAAATCTATATGTAAAAGACTTGTTGGATACCCAGGAAAAGGGCGAACAAGTTTGGTACATAGAGAACCCTACTGTGAACGTTATCTCAGTCGGATAGAGTTGAGAAGTCCCTTATTTGAAAGGTTTAAGAGATATGATTCACCCTCATATCAGACAGAATATCGATACGATGAAATATTTGATGCCCATTACCGTACGGGGTGTAGGGACGACCGGTCAATTGCAAAATTGGACATTGGTTCACGAGTAAGGGGAACACCCATATAGACCCCTAGGAGTACTAGTAAGCAGGTAAGAAAGAAAAGCTATTATTTTCTCGTTCTCTTATGCATGAAAGTGAAAAGTGATATGGATATGAGTATTCATAGGTTGTCTTTGGAAAACTCATTAAGGTAAATATTAAATAAATGTCTTCAAGTTTAAATGTATTTAAATAAAGCAAGGTCTTCATTAGTACTTTTTCTGATTTTTTACCAATTTTTAATTTTCCGTATTTGTGATTAGTGTGATATTCTTACTGAACTAATATAGCTTACCCTTTCATTAACTATTTCAGATCAAGAGGATTAAGTTTCAAATCCCGATCAGCAAGAGAATTGTGAGTAGTTCCTATTTGAACTCCCTTCAAGTGTTAGTGAATGTTATTTTCTAGAATGCTTAGTTATTCGTTTTATTTCTTTAATTTTTGTTTGTCTTTTAGAAAACATATTCTTGTAACCGTACTGGACATTCAAAATTATTATGTAAGGAATGTAAACTCTAACTCTATTAATCACTTCCTCATTTAATTTATGAATTTATTTTATTTTAAGTTCTGGGCCTCTACACCTCTCATGTACAAATACAAAATTTCCTACTAAAGTATATTCAATATTCAAAAATCATTTCTAACCAAAAATACTAGTTATTGAGAGTTTTAATTCTATTCTACATACTAAATAATGTAAAAAGGAATCTATTATTAAGGTAGGCGAGCTAGGTGAGATTACCATTTACGAGTATATGAAAAAATTACAAGAGTTACATCTCATCCCTAACCTAAAGTCTGTTGATTGCCATATATTAGGGAGGTGAAGGCAAAGCAAAAGATATCTTGCAAAATTATTTTTATGAAGTAAAATACAATTTCATTTTTTATTATTTGGTTTTCCATTTCAATACCTATGTATAATAATGAAGTAGCCACCATTTAACAATTAGTTATTTATATATTTCTTTTAATAAAAAAAAAGTGACATTTCTCTTTTTGAATTGTTGTATCTATATAAGAATCACTAAATCTTTAAAAAAGACAAAAAATATTACAGTTATAAATTATTATATAATTTATCTCTATCATTAATTGTATAAAATATTTATAAAAATAATATTTAAAATGTGGGAGTTACGAAATTAGTCTTGTAAAATATAATAAAAAGTTAATAGTCTCTAAGAAAATTAAAATGACAATTTACTTTCTTTTGTTAATGATAATTGTATATTTTGTAAATATTTTAAGTAGTTGTAGATGAATATATTTTGAATATTAGTAGTAAATATTATACATTAACAAAAAATTATATAAATTTTTTGGCAAAAAAATTAACAAACAACTAAAAGTATAATATTCTGTAAAGTACGATGCTTTTAACCTTTTAAAAGTGTGATAATTTTTACACAATATAGGTAACTTTTATAAAGTAAAATACAAAAATTACCCAACATTAAAAGTAATCTAAATGATTAAGAGATTGTAGGTATGTGCCTTTTCTTTCAAAACAAAAGGAAAAAAAATAAAAATAAAAATAAAATCAAGAACTAACCATCGACATCGAATTCCTCGTGGATCTTTTGAGGTCATTATCTTACTTGGTATACCTATGTTATTTTTTCACATAACCATTCAATTAATTTGGTTTTATATTTTGATTGGGGACCCTGCTACCATCCTCGTCGCGTTCTTCATTTTCATTCCAAAGCCTATCTTATTCAATCTTGGATGATTCCATATTATGACTTGCATTTATTGTTAACATAGTTTTTTTAATTATATTATTTAATTAATTATAAGAAGTCCTAGACAAGATTAAAGTGTGGATGGTTAAAAACGAAGTTCAATTTGCTTTTATTTTTACCATACGAGTGCTTTTAAAAAATTTCTCCAGTAATATGATGTCTCAGTAGGTCAAAATATCAATACAGACAACAGTTATTCATTGTAATATTACAACAAAGGAAAAAGAAGCTTACACTATTTGCATTTAGGAATCTAATGGAAAATATTTCGCATCGACTAATCGAATTCTTACCTCTGATCCTTTAATTATAAAATATAAAGTCAACATATGTTAGAGACATCATATTTATCTATGTTTAATGACTTAAAATTAACGGGAAATCCCCTCAAATACGACAAACAAAAAAGCTTGCGTAAAGAGTGGATAAAATTTACTCTGAAATTGGGGTTTGGAAGAATAATTTTGACTATATCTCTAGAGGATTTAATAAGAAAACCCAGTTTCTTGCAAAATGAGCTCCTATAAAAGTATGGTTTTTAGGCGTAATCTTTGAACAATATACTTTGTCCTTGTATTCCAATTTTCAAATTTATATATATATTTTACCAAAAAATTAACTTACTCGTTATTTTTTGTTAAAAAAAAAAAACGAAGAAGCATTATGACGGAATTGAGGGGCCAAAGTGCATAGATTTATCAAATTGAAACCCCTTGAGATTTGAAAGGTGAAGGGGAAATTTTGTTTGGCTCATGGAGGGGAGTAATGGGCAAAGGAAATTAAGCAAAAGGGTCAACATCTATGATGTGTGGTTGTGACTTTGTGGGGTCTCCAATTCCTTTATATATATATATATATATATATATATATATACATATACATTTATGGCTAGAATTGCAACTTCACTTCCTCACTATCAATAGGCGTAAATCTGGCAAAGCCACTATACGTCATCTTGGGACCCATTGCTCCCCAACTCTTTATAAAGCAAATGATGCTGATGTTATACATTTTCAAGCATTTCAATTCAATTCTTTAATTAAAAATATTATTATTTTTTTATATGAATGAATGTTTATATATATATATATATATATATATATATATGGGATTTTTTGTTTGAGCAAATTGGTTTTTGTCTTACGAGAGATTTATGCTATTTTATAGGAATCATCTCCCTCTAATAACTTAAAATAAACAAAAAATAAAATTAATGTTTTTCATTTATTTTTTAATAGTTGTATCAATTTTTTTAGTTCACATTTTATGCTATCAGTTATGTAATTCACGAGTGTTAAAATGAATTTTCTGTTCATTTTCTATTACCAAATGAATTTTTTTATTTTTTTTTTCTAGAATTTATATATTATATATAATATAAGTTATGAAAATATTAGTTTAAGTTATTTAGTCACTCGGTTTCATATCGTAGCAAATCGTGACTGAACTACTCAAGATAAATTCAAAATGTTATTTGTGAAAAATATCATTCTACAAATAAAAACATTATTATTTTTTTTTAATTCACATTCACTACAATATAAATAATAGGAGTAATAACTAACAATTTCTATTAATGAAAACATTATTATAAGTGGTTCAAGTTTAGATTTTCAATTATGTTAAATAAAATATAATTATTGAATAAAAATTGAATTTTTTTTTGTATATTAAAAAGTGTGTCCGTTATGTCGTAGAATTTATCAGAAAAGATCAATGAAGAAGGAAGAAAGAAGAATTAATATTTCTTGAATAATTGAACTGTTAATTACATTATACCTCGAAAACTTAAAAATGATAAACTGATAATGAAAATATTGCATGTACATTGGCAAAACAAGTGAAAATTAGAAGGAAAACATCCCTCGCAATATTAAGGTTTTGGATGAACCGATATACAAAAAGAAAAAAAAATTAATATATCAATAGTCAGAATCCTCGGTTCTCCGAGAAGATGACAGATCCTCTTTCATGTTTATAGTCGAGCGTTGAACTAAACGTACCAATGCTTCCACCACCTCCGACATTGGTGGCCGAAATTCAGGCTCCACCTAATTATATGTGCAGTTAACATCAAATTGTTAGATCCCAAACATAATGTTTGACATATTTATTACTTAATAATTTAAATCGTATAAATTTTAAGTGAAATTGGAATAAGATGCTCCTAGCATCAGTACGATGGAATTAAAGTATGTTATTCTAATTTTATTTGGAATTCACGATAATGTCAATTTTATCGTTCTAAAGAGAATTTTCGTAATTTTCGCATTGAATTAGTTGTGAACCTATAAATAAATTTCACAAAATTTCTAGATTTCATTTCAAACATCACCTAGTAATTTATAGATCATCTCCGACTTGGATTAGTTGTGTATTTATAAATAAATTTCACAAATTTTTTATATTAATTCTAAACAGTTTAAGAGCTGTAATTTGAATAATTGAGAGAGAATTTAAGAAGATATGTAGAACTTACTTGCACACAGAGAGCAATGATATCTGCAAATCGAGAAAGTGATTTCGGAGGATAGAGTCCACGCAAGGCAGGGTCAACCATATTTGCCAGTGCATCAATGTCGTGCAGTTGTGGAGTCGCCCATCTCACTAGGCATTGTTCGGATTTCGGCTTTTTACTGAAAAGAATTTGAAAAAAAATCTATTTAGATGATTTTTGGTCATTTAAGAACGTCTGTGCATTTATGTAATTAACCTAAACCAGCTGAAGTTTTAGTATATATATAAACCTGTCGTAAGGCATTCGACCAGATAGAAGCTCCAGCATAACCACTCCGAAACTATAGACGTCACTCTTCATGGTATAAGCTGTAGGGTTGATGCACTCAGGTGCATTATATCCGGCCCCCAAATTCTGGCTTGTACGCTACAATGGCAACAGAATCCGGTAAGAAAAACACTCCAGGAATACTAGCATATCTATTTCTCATAGACCACACACAAAAAATGAAGTGATGATCTCACAAGTCAAATTAAATATCATAAAACATGCATATATGGTTGAGGCAACTACATAACTCAGAAAAGAAGAGGAAGAAAAAGTGTCAATCAAGAAAAACATGCCATGAGAGTGAAGTTACAATGAGTCCAAGACAAAATTTGCAGTTACAGACACAGTTACAAAGGGAGAGGTAGAAGCAAAATACCGGATTTTGTTGCAAGAAAATGAAGACAAATGCGAGTTTGTATATGATTCTATCCACAAATAATGCAAGTACATGCCAAACATCTCCTGCTCTGATTAAAGATGTCATTATATGATTGTAAAGAGGTGTACAGGTAAATATTCTGCCCTAGTTATATACGCAAGGATCACTTATTTTTATTTAATTGATGTTCCTCTCATTGTATGCGTGTTATCAATTTAGGAGCAATCTAATTGTCTAAACAAACTCGTATTTGACTTGAAACAGATCGGTCATAGCTCATCAAAAGGTCAAGACAACTTAGACCAAAATAACCAAGGTTTTTAACCAGCAAAGTTCAGAGTAACTTATAAAAAACTAATAGGAAAATCCCAAGAATCATGTAACTCTGTCCAAATTATGACATATAAAATTCATAACTCTAGGTATCATATCTCAAGATATGTATACTGACATGATGGAAGTTTGCCAATCCATAGTCAGACAAACGGGGATTGAGTTCAGCATCAAGCAAAATATTTGATGACTTGATATTCTTGTGAAGTAGAGATGGGGAACAAACTTCATGAAGGTATCTGTCAAAGAGAAATATTAGAAAATGTTAACAAATGAAAACAGTGGAGGATTCCGAAATAATTTTGGCTATTTTCAGTGTTTTGAATACATTTCTGAAACTAATATATATATACATATATATAAGTTTCTGTAAATATATTTAAAATTGCCCATGGATATATTAATTATGTTGCAACTTCAGGCAAACAATAAATTGGAAATGAAAAGTATATGGCAAACAGCATTACAAATGAACAAATCACTTCGTGACTTACTCAACAGCTCGGGCAGTGCCTAAAGCAATTCTGATTCTGGTGTTCCAAGTTAAGGGCTTGCTGAAGTCATCGGACATGTGCAGAAACTCATGAAGTGAGCCATTCCTAAAGTACTCATAAACTAACATGTTGTGACCTTGTTCTGAGGAGTAACCAACAAGTTCAGCAATGTTAGGATGGTGAATCCTTGAGATGTTAATAACAATTGATGAAAAAGTTTCTGCATTCCGCCCTTCGAAGAATGAGGAATCAATTTTCTTAACAGCCAGAACCTGGTAAAAATGATAAAATGTCATATTTACTAAAATTAAGTTGAAATAATTTCTCCATCTTGTTACAAATACTCTCTAGAAGCTTACGCATAAAAAGACAAAAACAATAGACCATTAATTATTTGAATCCACAGTCAGTAATGGTCATGGTTAGAAGGAAAAGAATACGACAAATATAGATGAATAGCAATAACAGTGAAATAGAAAATGTTTCACATATATATAGGATATAAGCAGGTAAAGCTTGTATCAGAAGAAGAGATATCAAATATCTAATCTTGAACTCTCTATTCTATTACAGGATATCACTATATAGACACTATGATAATTGAAGATAACTGTTACGATCTATCAATATATTTATGTTATCCAGATGGGATTAAATAGAAAAATAAGATAATACCATGGAAATTTTTCTAAAGGTCTCTGCAAAAACTGAAAATAGCCACCCAAGAATTCTCCTAAGTCCCTAAGCTACTTATTTAAAAAAACTTTCAATTTTTCACCCATTAACCACACGGTCCTCATTAGATACACATACATGATCCCAGAAAATTATTATTCATCTTCTTTATTAGAAAGTATGGACCAAGTAAATGCTAAAAATATGGAACTCATCAAAAGGTTTTCCTGGAAAAGTCATACCCTCCCATCTGGATATTTAGCCTTATAGACACGTCCAATGGATCCCTCACCAAGAAGGCGGCCTGTTGCAAAATTAGCAGTCCCGGTCTGCAACTCTAACAAAGAAATTTCAGTTGCATGAATAGACGTGCTCTTTTGGGCATTGAGGCGGTTTGCAAACTCATTATCATTAATCGATTTCAAGTGATTGGAGTGTGAATGCTTAAGACCCATTGATGGAGATCTTTGCATAGTTTTTACATCAATAGAAGCATTGGAATCCACTGATTTGCGACCTGCCACAAACATATTGTCCAATCCATTAGGTTATTGGCCAATGTTCCCCAAGCACAGTCATTCTTCCAATGTACAAGATGCTACTATGTAGAGGGACCAATTAGATCCCTTGAAAGCTCAAAGTGATAGAAAAAAAGATGTCCTGCACGCCCTTGGATAGGGCTGCTTAACTTTATGATTAAAGTTTAGGTTTAATAGAACTATGCAGCAGGATTTCAATTTTTTTTTTTATTCAACACAAAATACCATTTTCTAAAG